AAGTATATCTATGGTGTCAAATGTTCATCATCAGGGCTGTGATCAACAGCGTGATATTATATGAGTTCAATTGAATATAAATTATCATAAAATAATTGTGGCAACTTGCCGAAAACTTTTGGCAAAATAACATAGCAACAAAATAAAAGACGTTGAATAGAACTATGGATTTATTCTATATTCTAAGAACTTAAATCATTTAATCAAATTGTCATCTTCAGGTCTGAGGGTTGGTAACCATGATCCACCACTGAAAACATTTTCGAATTATCTTTACCAATCCTCCCAGAATCTGTCTCTCTCTAGTGACCACAACTTTTAATTATATTTATCCACCACACTCTCGGCCTTCCCTCATTCTTTGGAAGGATAAACTGGATAAACTCGTCTGGCGTCAGCTATAAATTTTTTTTTAAAAGTGGCGTCCCTGTAGTGAATGGGTTAATATATCTTATATTAACCCGTCATCCCTAGTAAAACTCAAGAGGCAGGTCAAGCCGCCCTCTACATCTCTCGCTGCACCATTAATATTCATTATACGCGATGTCTTACTAATGGAGGACCATCCATTCGTAGACCAGAGAGACTTCTCTTTTCTCCACCACCTCGACCAAGTCAGGATGTTTGAGCCTTGTTTTAAGAAGCTGGCACTATTATCCTGGCCTAACCACTACCACCACCACTATTATCCTGGCCTAACCACTACCACCACCACCACCACTATCATCCTGGCCTAACCATCACCACCACTATCATCCTGACCTAACCACCACCACCACTATCATCCTGGCCAAACCACTACTACCACCACCACTATCATCCTGGCCTAACCACTACTACCACCACTATCATCCTGGCCTAACCACTACTACCACCACTATCATCCTGACCTAACCACCACCACCACTATCATCCTGGCCTAACCCACCACCACCACTATCATCCTGGCCAAACCACTACTACCACCACCACTATCATCCCACACTACCACCACTATCATCCTGGCCACTACTACCACCACTATCAACCACTACCACCACCACTATCATCCTGGCCAAACCACTACTACCACCACCACTATCATCCTGGCTACTACTACCACCACTATCATCCTGGCAACCACTACTACCACCACTATCATCCCGGCCTAACCACCACAACCACCACTATCATCTTGTCCAACCACCACTACCACTATCATCTTGGCCACCACTACTACCACCACCATACTCGTCTAACCACTGCTACCACCACCACTATCATATTGGCCAACCACTACTACCACCACCACTATCATCCCACCATACCACCACCACTATCATCCTGGCTAACCACTACTACCACCACCACTATCCTGGCCTAACCTCTGCTACCACCACTATCATCCACCACCACCACCACTATCATCCTGGCTAACCACTACTACCACCACCATCATCCTGGCCCACCACCACCACCACTATCATCCTGGCTACACCACTATCATCCTGGCCTAACCACTACTACCACCACCACTATCATCCTGGCCTTACCACCACCACTATCATCCTGGCCTAACCACTACTACCACCATGGCCTAACCACTACTAACCACCACCACTATCACCCTGGCCTAACCACCACTACCACCACCACTATCATCCTGACCTAACCACTACCACCACCACTATCATCCTGACCTAACCACTACCACCACCACTATCATCCTGGCCTAACCACTACCACCACCACTATCATCCTGACCTAACCACTACTACCACCACCACTATCATCCTGACCTAACCACCACCACCACCACCACTACAACATAGCGCCCCCTATTCTGAGACAGTCTATGTCTGGCCAACAGCATTACTCTTACATCACCTTTTTACCCCTTTACCATATAATATGATTCACGCCAACCAATTGTATCGTCAATTATCATTACTCGCATAATTATTCCACCAATGTGACTATTAACGCCTTGTTTAAGGACGTTCAGGTGACGGTCAAGTCGAAGTGAATGATTGAAAATTGTCTAAGGACGCATTTAGTATTTATTGATGTGGTCAAAACCCGCAGAGGAGAAGGCGTTTATAATATTACAAGGTGATTCATCTGATACATAATTAGTTAGTCTCACACAATTTTATCTTAATTACAATTAATTAAACATACTGACATAACACAAAGTTCATAACTCTATTAATCTTAGCTTCGCTTCATTCTGCATTGTCTTATTACTCCAGGTTAGGCAGAAACGAGTTGGCGTAATTAGTCAACAATATTTCAGTACCGAGGGGTATGTCATCACTTAGGCTGTACTTACATCAGGCGAGGTCACAGGTCGAAAGATTTAATGGCATCACAAGCCAGCAGTGTAGCTGTAGCCAGCGGCGATAACAGTGACATAGTATATTGATTATGATATACAGCAGTCGCAAATAAATAACATTTCTCTCTATGCAACAGGGAAAATTGTGTGGGATCCTCTCTCTGAGTATATAGATTCTGGTCATGTAGTGTCACAAGGATCTTTAAAAAAAATAGTTTCCTAGATTTTTCAACTCTGTGGTTATACCGAGAACAAACACATCATCTTAATGCATATGCTTAAATAGGGATCAAACCTGTGCAGTCTTGTAATAGATTTGATGTAGATCCCGGCAACAGAATCAGTCCAAAGGAGAGGTAGGAGAGGCACAGTCAGGGTCAGGGTCAGGAGGGCCACACCAGGAGAGCCCCCAACACCGAAAACTGCGAGCAGAGAACAGCCCAGCAGCTGATCCTCCCGAGCAGCTGTACGGGTAAATCGTGCCATCCTCCAGGACGTGGCGGCACAATCCGTCGTCACCTCACGGAGACCAGAACAGTTAGTCTGTCTTCCTCACTTTCTGCTCCTTGACTCCCTGTTGTGTAGTCTACTCTGGCCTGACATAGATGGCGGACTCATGCTCAACACAGCTCGAATCAGGTTTATGAACCTACACTACTACTGTTGTGTTTACAATAGCTTAACCGTAACAGATCATTGGTTGTTAATTAAAGAAAATATTCAGGCATCATTTGTGTATATATAAAATATGTTTAGGAGAGTTTGCAATACGAAAAAAACAAACAATACTTACATCAATGTAGAATTGTTCAATAATACTGTGCAGCGTAGGGCAGCTTCAGCGTCCATCTGATCAAGAACTTTGAGATTCGTAGCAGTTTGGGACATTACTACAGGTTTCCTGCTATCTGTCATTATCAGCAGAGCAGAAGACTTTTGTGGTCTTATCAAGCCATTTTGGTAACACCGTAGACTATAACATTATGACAGGTGAAGTAGCACAGTGAGGTCTTGTTGAACATCTTACAGTTACCTGGTGACAACTGACAGTACTCACACACTCAGTACTCAAGACGTAACTTACCCTGACCACACTGGGCCACAACCGTTGAGAATATGATGTCACAGAAAATTTAAAAGCTGCATTCTTGATGTATTAACCAATTTACTTCACAGCAGATAAGGGATTACAGTTAGCTGTCATCATTATATATATCATATATGACTATCATCACCAGTGTTGTTTACCGCGGCCCAGCGGGTGAGGAATTATAGACCAGTGATAGTCAACCAGGGTGTATGGAGAGTGCATGATGTGAGCAGAGTACACAGTGAAATGTGAGCTTTTGTTTCTTTTGTATTTTTACTGTTTTATGATTATATGAGGGACAACAGATGGTATTAATACTATGTGAGAGTGTGAAGTGTCTTAATATAAATGGAAAATGTGAATTAAAAAGCAAATTTGTGGCAGTTATCCTTCTGGGTGTTTGAGTTTCTGAAACCCTGGATGGCGGCGACAGTATTCTGAAGGTCCTCGTTCTCAGCCTTGTGTTGATAATTGTTTATCTTATTGTACACAATACTCGATAAAAGAGGACACACATGCATATGTTCACACACACACACACACACACGCACACACACACGCACACGCACACACACACACACACGCACACACCACTAGGTGATGAGTCAGATTCAATTCAATTTCAATTGTTTATTCCTTGATAGAGGAAGCGGGATCCTAGTGCTGTCACTAGGTACCCCTGTACAATGACACCAGAAGCATCTGGCAAGTGTGACAAGTATATACAGTATAAATATTATAAAGGGGCTTACTAAAGCCTAAGGAAGGAAGGATATTCCTTTAACACATAATCAATGTTATTTACAAAATATCTGGCCAGTATGGGGAGGATCATCGTGTCTCCGTCAGGGGGTCGTTGAGTGGTGGTCCAGTCATGGAGGAGAAAACTTTAACACCTGAAGGATAATCCCAATATGTTTAACTAATGCCTTATAATATGTACTCGTGTATGTATTAATATGTGTTATTTTATGCTTATCAGCATTAATGTGTATTAGCAAGTTTCTGTATGAATGTGTGTGCGTGTGAGCTTTTCCATCAATAGTCTTTGTGTACATGTATTCAAATGTATAGGTTTATGTAAGAGTGTCTGTATGTATATTTCTGCATATGTGTTATGTGTAAGTATATATTCATGCTTGTGTGTGTTTATGTTAACGTGTACACATACATGTGTCGTCCACAACTTGAGATAACAGACACCACCACGAGCCTGAGAACCTCACCGCCTGACGTCTAATTATAATAATTAAGTGTCGTTTTCGTGAACCACGAGTTTTATATTATTGTTTATCTCCCTCGAGGACCAACCTTGCTATCATGTCTGGAGGATATATAAGGGAGTGGTGGTGGTGGTCATCCTTCATCAACACAACACACTCCACCATGACTGGGACACCACTGTTGCTTCTTCTGAGTCTTCTATCGCTTCACACAGGTATTGCCACCTGGGCAAGTACTGTAACGCCCCTTCCCCGGCTAACACTAACTGCCTCACCCGTGGCATATCTGTCAAAATACACATTACATCACATTCACTTTTCAGTAATACATCACGACTTTTTTTTTTGACAAATTATATTAACTTTTCAGACTCCGTGTGGTCAAGGTACGAGGGTCAGCTTGACTCACAGCGTAAGTTACGTCTTGAGTACTGAGTGTGTGAGTACTGTCAGTTGTTATAGTGTTACAGGGTGTGCCTAAAAACAAAGCCATGAGGAAGGTCAATAGAAAACGCAGTTCTTCATGTTGGTAGAATGACTGAAAATTTCCAAAATTTAGCCCTGAATTGCGTTGGTTTCGTTTCCTGACGAGTATATGCTGCAAATGTTAATTTTTATGCCGAACACAGACTTGAACACGACGCCACAAGTTGTTAATTGTGAACTGTGAGTTGTGAGTCGTTCTTGACCTGACTTTTATTGTGGTTTCCTCTCACCGCTCAGGTATAGTTCTTGGTCTATTTTCATAAACATTAGTTCTGAGTTAAAACCATTGTTCTTTTATTCTGAATTCTCTCTTGGATCTTAAAACTGTTTCAGCACTTCGCTGTGTCCATCGAATTTAACAGCCTCTGGATTACCGACGTCGTCCTCAAACCGGAACAGTTAATAATGCCTTGCTTATTAATTGTAGATATAGGTGAGATGTTGCTCTTAAATAGGTGAGCCAAAGGTCAGTGAGGAAATCGAGCAGCTCTCAATTTTGTTAACGAAGTAGTAAACCATTTCTAGATGTTTCTCTTTGAAATAGTGAATAATTATTTAACCTTTGTAGTGTTTAACAAAGTTTAATGTCATCGAGGAGAATCCTCCTGACAGTCGTCATTTCCAGTTGAAGGTCCTGACGGGGCAATGAGAGAACATCATCGGCTGTTGCTGACTAATTGACGGACGTTCTCACCCATCTCAGGACTTCTCACCAAAGGTTGTTCAGAATGAGTTGATCTATGCCGTGACTCTCACTTTAGACTGTGTACAGTAACTTTCTCTTTGGAGGTCTTTGTCCACTGAAATATTCCCTCTTTGCAGGGACCCTTTCTGCTGTTGAATTTCGTTTAAAACTTTCTTTCAGCAACACGAGGGATTTAGTTTTGATGTAATCTTCTCAAAAGGTTTTCTTGTCATTTTACCTGATCATTAACATTACCAAATATGTAAGCTACATGTATTCATTTCTGTACATAATTCAAATATCTAAATCTAAGACGAAAAGGAGAAGCCATGATAAATGATTTTTTTTTTTAAAGAAACAGAAGGGTAAGGCTCTTATTTTAGGGACACCACACCCGGTAATACTTCAATATTTCTGTAGTCAATCATGGTACTTTTGGCCGATGACTTGTGTGGTGTGTTCCCCTTTACACACACTTAAACTCAAACTGTTTTGACTTGTAAATATAATATCATTAATTTCTAGCTGCAATCTCCCCATTGAAAATTTTACCAGTCACCTCTAAACTTTGATTTGGAATTACGCAAAAAATATAAAAACAGCTCATTTCAACAGATACTCAAAATTTTGTTTTATATTCGTAACTTAAAAATTATAACCTCCCCTCACGTAATCTATTAAATTCGTATTTTGCTCGTGATGTCCAACTTCCTGTTGGATCCTGGTCTTTGATGTCTTGTTCCCTCATGTTGTACCCGTGTTGTGATTAGGTGAATATACTAATGATGCTTTACTTAAAACCGTCAAGAACTTCACTGTATTCGTTTGTACTGTTTTTTGTATAAGGTTTCAAGTTATTTGTTAACATTTCAGTTTTATCTGATATCTGATGATATGTTTACCCAATATTGAGAAATAAAAAGATAAAATATAATTACAATTAATATTCTTGACCACGAATCTAATGATGTTTACCTCATGCACAGCGACAGTATTCTGCGAGTTCCCCTTTACTGCCTTGTATAAGAAGTGTATCTTCGTGGACCCAGAAACGAGAGGGTCCTGGAACTCGACAAGAACTTACTGCCTGGAACAAGGCGGTGATTTGATTAAAGTGGACAGCGCCGACTTCATGTTTTATCTCGTCAGATACATTCATGAAAACGGTAATGACTCACAGAAGTAAATACTGTTATTCCTGTCACGAGAATCTCTATATTCTTAGTCACTTAAGCAAACCGAGCTCTCAATTCAATTACTATACAGGTTACGATCATGTATCGTACTGGATCGGGGGGTCAGACGAAGACAACGAAGGAGACTTCCGGTGGACGGACGGTACAGAAATGAAGATGGGCACACCTTTCTGGGGTGACAGCGCTGACCAAATACAAGAACCTGATGGCGGCATCAGTCAGAACTGTGTCTTTATGAATAAAGGTAATCACTACTATTTCTTCGATTATGGCTGCAGGAACTATGCACACGCCATATGTGAACAAGTTGATGAAGAACGTTTGGAAGATGTTCTGCCAATTATACTCGACAGCTTTTTATTACTATAGAGGACAGGTTCACTACCTTTATACTATCATGGAAGACTACTTTTAATGTTTAGTTGCTGTTGACATTGTATACATAGCACCCGGTAATTACAAATGATGATCCCGATTCTAAACTTTTATTTTGAAAAAAGACTAAAAAAAAAAGTTAAAATGAAGATATAATAATAAAGAATATTTTTTTTATTTTTTTTTGTGGTTCTGCAGACATTACAGAGTTATTCAGCTTCCCTTCATACATACATATTGTAGTATATCATGCTGGACTTCTCTAACAGCCTCACGTATCTTTTCCTTCTAATATCCCAAAGCTGATGGCATTATCGGAACAAAAGCTTTAATTTTAACAACTCAGTGGAAGAAGCTATGTTAGCTAAGAAAGCCCCCCTCACCAGACCTAACTGTCAGACAATGGCTCACACAGGATTGTTGTAAATTCAATATGAATATTATAAATAAAAGAATATACAAATATTAATATAATTTGCGTAAATTCATTCTCACCTTAGTATGTAGTCGCACAGGACAACGTCTTGTAAACAACACGTTTGTAAATTTCTGGAAATTCTTCCGTCTGGGGAGCCCAAAAATGGATAAATGAAGTACTACTGAAACTGTCTTTTAACGCTGGGTCTTGACTCTTTTGTCTACGATACTGTGGCCATTTGTACATTTTGGGGCGACTTATGTTACACGTGCAATAAACCACGATGTTTGCAAGCCACTCGTTTTGCACCATCTGTACACACATCAACACACCATCTGTACACACATCAACACACCATCTGTACACACATCAACACACCATCTGTACACACATCAACACACCATCTGTACACACATCAACACACCATCTGTACACACATCAACACACCATCTGTACACACATCAACACACCATCTGTACACACATCAACACAGTACCCACACCACCACTTTTTCCGTAAAGTCGAAATTAACGTTATTAAAAATCATTTACCATAGGCCCCTTTCCCTCCAGGTGGGGTGGCTGTTAGGTAAATGTTGAATCTTCAATTATACGGAGACGATGGAAACGTTTATTATTAATCATCATCATTATTCATCACGGACCAGTAGTTAGCTGCCATCATCACCAATATTTCAGGTGACTCATCACGATCGTCATCTATTGCGGCCCAGCTGGTGAGGCATTTTAGATAGCCGGGGAAGAGTACAGTACTACTTGTGTGGAGTGCCAGGTGGCAATACCTGTGTGAAGCGATAGAAGAGAAGAAGAAGCAACAGTGGCGCCCCAGTCATGGTGGAGTGTGTTGTGTTGATGAAGGATGACCACCACCACCACTCCCTTATATATCCTCCAGACATGATAGCAAGGTTGGTCCTCGAGGGAGATAAACAATAATATAAAACTCGTGGTTCACGAAAACGACACTTAATTATTATAATTAGACGTCAGGCGGTGAGGTTCTCAGGCTCGTGGTGGTGTCTGTTATCTCAAGTTGTGGACGACACATGTATGTGTACACGTTAACATAAACACACACAAGCATGAATATATACTTACACATAACACATATGCAGAAATATACATACAGACACTCTTACATAAACTTATACATTTGAATACATGTACACAAAGACTATTGATGGAAAAGCTCACACGCACACACATTCACACAGAAACTTGCTAATACACATTAATACTGATAAGCAAAAAATAACACATATTAATACATACACGAGTACATATTATAAGGCATTAGTTAAACATATTGGGATTATCCTTCAGGTGTTAAAGTTTTCTCCTCCATGACTGGACCACCACTCAACGACCCCCTGACGGAGACACGATGATCCTCCCCATACTGGCCAGATATTTTGTAAATAACATTGATTATGTGTTAAAGGAATATCCTTCCTTCCTTAGGCTTTAGTAAGCCCCTTTATAATATTTATACTGTATATACTTGTCACACTTGCCAGATGCTTCTGGTGTCATTGTACAGGGGTACCTAGTGACAGCACTAGGATCCCGCTTCCTCTATCAAGGAATAAACAATTGAAATTGAATTGAATCTGACTCATCACCTAGTGGTGTGTGCGTGTGTGTGTGTGTGTGTGTGCGTGTGTGTGTGTGAACATATGCATGTGTGTCCTCTTTTATCGAGTATTGTGCACAATAAGATAAACAATTATCATCACAAGGCTGAGAACGAGGACCTATAGTACGTTACTATCGCCTTCAGGTAATTAAGAGTTTTATATGATTGTTTATCTCCCTCAAGGACCAACTTTGTTATCATGTCTGGAGGATATATAAGGGAGTGGTGGTGGTGGTGGTGGTGGTCATCCTTCATCAACACAACACACTCCACCATGACTGGGGCGCCACTGTTGCTTCTTCTGAGTCTTCTCTCGCTACACAAAGGTATTAACCCTCCCTCAGGTACTGCCACCTGGCACTCCACAACAGGTATTACTCTTCCCCGGTAATTTATAAGTGTTCTTCAACCTCTTCTAACGCCCTGCATGCGTCATCCAGGGTATGGGAAACTCAAACACCCAGAAGGATAACTGCCACAAATTTGCTTTTTAATTCACATTTTCCATTTATATTAAGACACTTCACACTCTCACATAGTATTAATACCATCTGTTGTCCCTCATATAATCATAAAACAGTAAAAATACAAAAGAAACAAAAGCTCACATTTCACTGTGTACTCTGCTCACATCATGCACTCTCCATACACCCTGGTTGACTATCACTGGTCTATAATTCTTCACCCACTGGGCCGCGGTAAACAACAATGGTGATGATAGTCATATATGATATATATAATGATGACAGCTAACTGTAATCCCTTATCTGCTGTGAAGTAAATTGGTTAATACATCAAGAATGCAGCTTTTAATTTTTCTGTGACATTATATTCTCAACGGTTGTGGCCCAGTGTGGTCAGGGTACGCGGGTCATCTTTACTCACAGGGTAAGTTACGTCTTGAGTACTGAGTGTGTGAGTACTGTTAGTTGTCACCAGGTAACTGTAAGATGTTCAACAAGACCTCACTGTGCTACTTCACCTGTCATAATGTTATAGTGTACGGTGTTACAGGGAGCTTTGGCCTAAAAATAAAATTGTGAGTAAAAATCTTACTTCTGTTTAGAAATTAAAGAAATGTAAAGTAATGGTATTGCATTATTCTTTTAAATAATTAAAATTTTAGAAAACTGAGTGTTGAATTATTTTCATTTGGTTCTCTGTCAAGTTGATGCTCCAAACGGTCACCTTTATGCTGAACTTAGACTTGAACACGACGGTATAAGGTGTTTAATATGAGATGACACTGAGGAATTGTGATTGACTTGACTGTTGTTTTCAATTACGTCTATTTGTTTAAATATTATTTCTGAGAAGCTCCCCAAAGAAAACTATAAGAAACGATATGTCGGTTGAGGCCAAGGTGATGTGGAAACTACTCGTCATTGAAGCGATGGTCGAGCCTTATTAAAGTGGTTTGTCACTCACTCCCGGGACTGTTTTGTGGTATGACCAGTTCACTGTCGTCATTTCCAGTTGAAGGTCCTGACTGTTGCTGACTGAGTGACTGACGTTCTCAACCATCTCACCAACGGTTGTCCAGAATGAGTTGATCTGTGCCGTGACTTTCACTTCTGACTGTGTGCAGTATTTTCCTCATGTCACTGGCACTGAAATATTCCCTCCTTGCAGTAATCAACTCTACTGATGAATTTCGTTTAATTTTTCTTTGGACAACGCATATCTATTCCTCATTTGTCCAGAGTATGTATAATCTTAAATCACACAAACAAACTATATATATATATATATATATATATATATATATATATATATATATATATATATATATATATATATATATATATATATATATATATATATATATATATATTTCATGTTCCTTGATAGGCTTATCATGAGAAATGGCCAAAACTATAAATTTAAGGTATACAGAAAGCCCACACAGGTAGACAGTTTCATTCACTTTTTATCGAATCACCTTGAGTCTACCAAAATGTCAGTTTTTTCTGCTATGTTCTTAAGATGTCTGCGTATTTGTGACTCTGAATTTATTGACGATGAATTGAAACACATTCGTTCCATTGCACAGAAACTCGGGTACCCTTCTGTGTTTGTTGATCGTTGTTTTAAAAGGGCTAAAAAATCCTTTCATTCCTCTCAAACCAGACAAGTTCCTACACTTAAGGATATTTTCACTCTGCCCTATCGTAATGAATTTGTCCCGTTAGTTCGGTCCCTCAAGGTTCTAAATATTAATGTTGTTTTCAAGTATGACTCAACCATGGGCAGAGAGAGGCTTAAATATACAGAGTGACCTTAAAAACATGAGGTCAGGTCATAATGATGTCATCCATTAATCCCCACACCAACACACACGTAGAGGAGTTTAAGAGAAGGGGGTGACGTGACTAGTCAGGTCAGGTCAAAAATAAGGGACCCACTGAATATCTATCATACATCTAGATCAAAGGTTTTCAAAGCATTTTTAACCTTGGGCCACTGACAAATAAATTTATGTAACATATCATCAGTTTTGAACTGACCATCACTAAGGATTATTGATTTTAATTCCTTAATCAAACTAGCTTCAACCAGAAGTCTTTCTGTGATACAAGATGATTTAAATACTTCTAAGCCTTTTTCCCAAGCAATGGGGTGATTATTATTCCTAACATGAACGAACAAGGCACTGCTTTCAGATGCAGTTCTGATATTATACTTATGTTGTTTGATTCTGAGCTGCAGTGTTTTTCCTGTTTGTCCTACATAATTTCAATTACATTTGCTACATGGAATACAATAAACACTTCCATTTACATTCAAACTTGGGCTATTCCTTATTAACATATTGGTAATGGTTGAGTCATACTTGAAAACAACATTAATATTTAGAAGCTTGAGGGACCGAACTAACGGGACAAGTTCATTACGATAGGGCAGAGTCAAAATATTCTTAAGTGTAGGAATTTGCCTGGTTTGAGAGGAATAAAAGGAATTTTTAGCCCTTTTAAAACAACGATCAACAAACACAGAAGGGTACCCGAGTTTCTGTGCAATGGAACGAATGTGTTTCACCCTGTCTATTTAAGCCTCTCTCTGCCCATGTAATCCAGTTGCCTCTGAAGATGTCTTGAATAAAGACGAAAGCTAAGGTGCTCCGTTGTTTCCCCTTTTCCTGTGTGATTTTATCAAGATTTATCTTATCCACGTTTTCATTGTGGATCTACATGATATATATATATATATATATATATATATATATATATATATATATATATATATATATATATATATATATATATATATATATATATAATATTACAGGAACTCGGGCACCGACATTATATCTAAAAATACAAAATAAAACCACGAGAAATATATTCATGGTTAAGAAAAAAAATGGGTGTTATGTTTTTGTTTTTTTAGGTACATCCAGTGTTGTGGTGTACAGCAATGGCGGTCCTGATAAGATCACCTGTATTTCAACCATACAATAATCAATAACAACTCGTAGATAAATAGTGTGTTTATTCCAGGCCAAATTCACTTTTCAAGAGTAACTTCTCTGTAATTCCTTGCTAAACGATCTTCTCCCCCATGTTATTTTATATTATATATGAACCACTGATGTATTTCGTATACTTCGGGTTATGGCTGCTGTATTTTTCAGTAAACTGTTATTTATGATAAATATTGTTACTGTACACATATACTGTACACTTTCATTCCAATTAACATTCAATACACTGATAATTATATTCGCCAATTAATAAAAAATGTTTGGGTATTGTGCAAAAACAAAAGCTCTAAATCAACAAATATTCATAGTATTTTTTCTCTGTTTTGTAACGATAAAAAAGACATCAACGCCATGTAGGCACATAATTTATATTCATATGTATTAGAACAAAAGCATCCAGTGTTTTCGTCATCACTCTGTGTATTAAGACTCACAAACACAACTTAATTAACAGACGTAAACACAGCCTCACCTCCCCTCACGTAATCTATTAAATTTTTCTCGTGATGTCCAACTTCCTGTTGGATCCTGGTCCCTGATGTCTTGTTCCCTCATGTTGACGTGTTGTGATTAGGTGAATATATTAATGATGATTTACTTAAAACCGTCAAGAACTTCACTGTGTTTGTTTGTATTTTTCTTCTATAAGGTCTTATGTTATTAGGTAACTTTGCATTTTGGTCTGATATCTGATGGTATATTTATCTAATATTAAAAAATAAAAGCTAATAACTAATGCTGTTGACCTCACACACACAGCGACTGCGGAGTGCTACCCACCTTTCACTGCTGTGTATCACACATGCATCTTCATAGACTCATCAGTAAAAGGCACTTGGTATTCGACAAGGAACTTCTGCCAGGATCAAGGCGGAGATTTGGTCAAGGTGGACAGCGGCGACTTTATGTACTATCTCGTCAGATACATTCATGACAACGGTAATGGTTCACTGAAGCGACAATTGCTTTTCTTGTTACAAAAATCTGTTCATATTTAATTAATATTAAGCAAATGGAGCTTATAAATCGAGAAAAATTTTCAGGTCACGATCAACATTCGTACTGGATCGGTGGGTCGGACGAACACCACGAAGGAGACTTCCGTTGGACGGACGGTACAGAGGTGAAGATGGGCACACCTTTCTGGGGTGACAGCGCTGACCAAATACAAGAGCCTGATGGCGGCATCAATCAGAACTGTATGGAAATGAACCATGTTGACCACTACTACTTCTTTGATGTTCAATGCGACGGTAATTTACCTGCCATCTGCGAACAAACTGTCTAAGCGTGTTTGGTAAATGGTCTGCTAACTGCACCATGTATCTGCTCTTCAATACTATTGTTAGGGCACGAAGCCCGATTACGGATGACACTGTGATCCTTATACACCAGAGACCACAACGATACATTATAGTTCAATGCACATTTTCCTCTGAAACCAAAATATTTTGTTTGTTAGAAAAAGATTATTTCTGTTTCATTTTGGTATCGAACAACTGAGCAAAAATAAATAATGAACAGATTTTGTCTTACATTTTCAAATTTTAACCAATAAATATATTGTTAGGAATTTAGATAGAGAGACTGAAAAGAGAAAGACAGATATATAAATGTGTAGATATATAAATAAATAGATATATAGATATTGTCTCTTCATTCCATCGCCATTTTTCAATTATTTTGCATATTTTTTATTTTATATATATGCTTACTTATCACAATTCGAAGACTGCTTTGAGTTCCTCTGTTGAGGTAAGGAAGCTCAAGATGCAGTGAGCATTCCTCCCTGGATCGCTATGCTGAAGCTCTAGATGAAATAACTTGGTCTGATGCCTCCAGTGGTTTCATTGAGTTTGGAACCGAACTTATTCAGGAACTTCAGGGCTTTGGTGCCCAAGGCACCCAAAAATCTGACTCTGTTGAAGCAATATTCGTGGCTTAAGTTCCTGTACTTGGCCTTCTTCTGGTTTTCCCTTGAGCTTATTTACCTTCCTTCCCCCAGCTGTACTGAGGGAGGGAGGTAAGTAGATTCCAAGGTGGAAGCGAATGTGTAGTCCTACAATAGACTTTACCATCCTTCCAGGGAAGTAGCATGATTCCATCTGAGGACTTCTTGTCAGACTGTAAATCTGCACTTCTCTATGTGCTGGACAGCAGATAGATTCCAGACTCCTGTTAATGATATCATAAATTTTCTTATGTCTTGGATATCAACTCCTGGAAGCTCCACATACAAGGGTGTGGCTACCCTGCTGGCCTGTCCACTTATGGCAACAGATACATTTGTAAACAGTATGAATTATTCCATCTCAAGGAGTCCGTGACATGAGAAACACTGAACGCCTGCAGACGAACCCACACCAGGTTAAGTGATTCTCCCTCAAACATGTCTGAGGCAATGTTCTTAATGGTGGGTTAGTCCTACTGGGTTTCTTTGCTCTCTATTTGGGGCGTTGGTCTACCTACTTGGAATGTCATGGTCAATGTTGTCAAATTCAAGCAAATCTGCCAGAATCAGTCAACACATGTAGCAAAAGCTTGGTTAATTTCGGTAGCGCCGGAAGAGCGTACAGCAATTTGATCCCTTTCAGAAGAGCCAATACTCAGTTCATTTTGAAATAATCTTACGCTCTTGTTACCAAAATGGCTTAGAAAGACCACAAATCCCTTCTGCTGATAAAAATAGATAGAAGAAACCTGTAGTAGAGCCTAAAGAGAAATACAAGAGACTTTCTAATGTTAATAATCTCAAAGTTCTTGATTGGATGGACGCTGAAGCTGCCCTATGTTGCACAGTATCATAGACTAATTCCACATTGATGTAAATATTGATTTTTTTTCGTATTGCAAACTCTCTTAAACTTATTTTATATAAACACAAATGATTCCTGAATATTTTCTTTAATTAACAACCAATGATCTGTTACGGTTAAGCTATTGTAAACGCAACAGTAGTAGTGTAGGTTCATAAACCTGATTCGAGCTGTGTTGAGCATGAGTCCGCCATCTATGTCAGGCCAGAGTAGACTACACAACAGGGAGTCAAGGAGCAGAAAGTGAGGAAGACAGACTAACTGTTCTGGTCTCCGTGAGGTGACGACGGATTGTGCCGCCACGTCCTGGAGGATGGCACGATTTACCCGTACAGCTGCTCGGGAGGATCAGCTGCTGGGCTGTTCTCTGCTCGTGTTTTCGGTGTTGGGGGCTCTCCTGGTGTGGCCCTCCTGACCCTGATCCTGACTGTGCCTCTCCTACCTCTCCTTTGGACTGATTCTGTTGCCGGGATCTACATCTAATCTATTACAAGACTGCACAGGTTTGATCCCTATTTAAGCATATGCATTAAGATGATGTGTTTGTTCTCGGTATAACCACAGAGTTGAAAAATCTAGGAAACTATTGTCACATTGGTGGAATAATTATGCGAGTAATGATAATTGACGATACAATTGGTTGGCGTGAATCATATTATATGGTAAGGGGTAAAAAGGTGAAGTAAGAGTAATGCTGCTGGCCAGACATAGACTGTCTCAGAATAGGGGGCGCTATGTTGTAGTGGTGGTGGTGGTGGTGGTTAGGTCAGGATGATAGTGGTGGTGGTGGTAGTGGTTAGGTCAGGATGATAGTGGTGGTGGTAGTAGTGGTTAGGCCAGGATGATAGTGGTGGTGGTAGTAGTGGTTAGGCCAGGATGATAGTGTTAGTAGTAGTGGTTAGGCCAGGATGATAGTGGTGGTGGTAGTGGTGGTTAGGCCAGTGATGATAGTGGTGGTGGTAGTAGTAGGTGGATGATAGTGTTAGTAGTAGTGGTTAGGTCAGGATGGTGGTGGTGGTAGTGGTTAGGCCAGGATGATAGTGTTAGTAGTAGTGGTTAGGCCAGGATGATAGTGGTAGTGGTTAGGCCAGATGATAGTGGTGGTAGTAGTGGTTAGCCAGGATGATAGTGGTAGTATAGGCCAGGATGATAGTGGTGGTGGTCGTGTGGTAAGGGATGATAGTGGTGGTGGTAGTAGCGGTTAGGCCAAGATGATAGTGGTGGTAGTAGTAGTGGTTAGGCCAGGATGATAGTGGTGGCGGTAGTAGTGTTAGGCCAGGATGATAGTGGTGGCGGTAGTAGTGGTTAGGTCAGGATGATAGTGGTGGTGGTAGTAGTGGTTAGGCCAGGATGATAGTGGTGGTGGTAGTAGCGGTTAGGCCAAGATGATAGTGGTGGTAGTAGTAGTGGTTAGGCCAGGATGATAGTGGTGGTGGTAGTAGTGGTTAGGCCAGGATGATAGTGGTGGTGGTAGTAGTGTTAGCCAGGATGATAGTGGTGGTGGTAGTAGTGGTAAGGCCAGGATGATAGTGGTGGTAGTAGGTTTAGGCCAAGATGATAGTGGTTGTGGTAGTAGTGGTAAAGCCAGGATGATAGTGGTGGTGGTAGTAGTGGTTAGGCCAAGATGATAGTGGTGGTGGTGGTAGTGGTTAGGCCAGGATGATAGTGGTTGTGGTAGTAGTTGAAACAGTTTATTTAGCCAGAAAAATACGGATAAAGAGACAATAATAATAACGATATGATCCAGTGAAACAACTCCACTCTTCATGACCAAGGATTATTATTTGAATATCATCTGAAGACCTCAAGACCTCAGTAATCATGCTGCCTGTAACTGCGGGACAGGATACTGCTTTCGATTCTCTCTGTCTGTCTGTCTGTCTGTCTGTCTGTCTGTCCTCAAAATAACTGGAGAATGGATTTGTAAATCTGAATCAACGTTGGTAGGTTGAATAACAGACAATAAATTCCACACGATAAAATTATTGGTTGGATGGATGTATAAGCGATAGGGGTTGGGTGTAAACGGGACTGCCCAGTATGGACCAATAGGCCCGCTGCAGTTTACTCCATTCTTATGTTCTTATGTTAACTCTCTAACAATTATCCAAGTGTTGCCAGTGTAATGGTCCACACACTAATAACATGTATGGTTACTCGGGAGATAAAACACCTTCGTAAAGTGAGACAGTCTCCGGCGGTGACTACACTATAGTAACACCGACACTTTCGATATTCACCCAGCCTTGGTAACGGTTTGTGGGCAGGTGTTGTTGTCGTTTGGATGCTGTTTAATTTTTCTCGGCTTTCCATTCATCTACAGTCTCTCTCACTAACTCAGTCACCCCTTTAATTTTCCCCAGTCGCCGATGTAACCTGCCTCCCTGTCCTGCCCTACCCTGCCCTCCCATTTACCCTGCCTCCCTCCCCTCCCTCTTTACCCTGCCTCCCTGCCTTTTCCAATTTATCCTGCCTTCCTACCCTCCAACCTGTCTCCCCGCCCTGCCTTTCATCCTGCCTTCCACCCTGCCTCCCCGCCCTGCCTCCATCAGGGCCGTGTGCTTGTCCTCCCCGGCCTGGTGACCGCAAGAGGGTCTTCCCATGGGTCTTGGGCTTCAAGGGGCGGATCACTTTACGCCTCTTCAAAAAGTTAATAACTCTAATTGTCAGTGTGTGTTCTTTGTCTGGTGGCTGGCGGTGGGTGTTGCCTCTTTAGTGGGTCCTGAAGCTTCACTTTATTAACAGAGGTTTGTCTTGACGTTATTATTGTGATTATTGTTTACGAGTTACCATGTTAGTTCCTATAATGGTTGTCCTTCGCGATGGTACTTATCACTTTGCTAAACGATTTTACACTCAGTGACTGGCACGGATGGAGGAGGAGCGTGGTGGCAGTGTGGCACTTGAAGATGGCACTGGGGGCTGGAGCGCCGCGGTCACTCTTGTGGCATAACAAGATCATCCTCTGGACACTGGCAGTGGTGGGGTGGCTCCAGACCCACGCTTTATGGCCATTACTCTCCCGGGCCAAGTTTTCAAACAACGCCATTAACAGGATTAGATATTGGCTCACGGTGGAGGAGAGTTAGGCAGCCCTTCTCTATGACGGAGTTTATTGCAAGTCACATAATGGTGTTTAGCGGCCGGGTCGTGATACAAACCTAATTCGCCTTGAAAAACTTTTTTGTCAAAAGCAACAAAACGTTGCACTAAAGACTTACTAAAATATATATAAATATACATAAATCCATAAACTACGACATAAATCTAAAAATACTCAACATATAGACAAAATTAAGTTCACGTTCTGATCTAAAGAAACATTACCTTATAGAAGACCGCCTCACTGGGCAACCCATATTGATATTGCATCGATCTGCTTATTATCTACAGTCATAGTGTCGTCTGATGTAATTCCTCCCAGTTAGACCGATTTTACACACACACACCCACACACACACACACAGACACACACACACACACCCACACACACACACACACACACACACACACACACCCCACCACACACACACACACACACACACACACACACACATACACACATACACACACACACACACACACCCACCATACGTCAGGTTGTGTGATGGGGACACTCCACTGTCACCTGTCACAGCCTCCTGCCACCACACCCAGCTGGCCTCCCTGTACGACCGGTGGTGAGCCAGACGCGTCAGCTCTTCTGTGGTTGGGAGGGAGAGAGAGGGAGGGAGGGTGGTTATGGGAAAAGCGAGGGAGGGAGGATGGGTATGGGAGGGAGAAAATGAGGTGGGTATTAGAGGAAAGAGGGGAAGGAGGAGTATATGAGA